AATAAAGCAGCTTTGCCGGGATGTGGTGAAGGTAAAAGACCGTCGGAGAGGAGAGTTGCAGGAGATTGCGTTGTTAGTCTTTGGGGAAGAGGAAAATACAGTTGAGGCCTGATTCCCTTGGCAGATATGTTCACAAAAGCCGAAGAGCAAGCCGGAGGAAAGAAAATTGCCTTTGAAAGTGCAGCAGTGAATTTGAGGAAGGACATGCAGCACTTACTCCACTACTTTCTCGTGGTTTTTATTAAAGGGAAAAGGGAAAAGGTTATCTGTTTGTGTCGTGTTTATTCTCCTGTACTTGATTGATACATAGTCCAAAAGGGTTTTGTTTGTGTTGTGTAAATATCTAGTGTGTTTTCTCCCCTTTGGTATTTATTTGATGCATGGTTTTCCATGAAAACGATGTATCTGTAGTGTGTGTGTGTGTATATATACAGGGTTTCCCGGTGCGTGTGCGTGCGCGTGCGTGCCGCCTTTTTTTTCTGCGATGGTTGTTTAATTGATGGTCTTGTAGTTGACCTGCTGCCAGTTGTCTGCATGATCCGTTGTCACCCCAATCTGACTTCCAAGTTGGCTTCAGCTGGCTTGAATTGATTTAAATTTCTTGTCGCTTATTTATGCAGCGTGGCAAAGTTTTGAAGCTCGCCACGACTCCCCGTGCCATCCTCTTCTGTAACCCCTCGCTTCTGTAGAGTGTGGAATTGTTGATAAGTCGTCTTGGCACCATGGCGAGAGTAATCATTTTCCTCCAGATGTTGGGGTTTAGGAAGGAACCAAAAAGGAGGCGAAAGAAGGGAGGGGTATCGGAGAAAAACCAGCTGCTGCCACCACCAGTTCCACCCCGCTACATGAAGTAGTCTCCTCCTCCCTCCACGAGGCTCCCAATTCCACCTCCTCCGCCGTGCGCCATTTTTTTCCTTCTCGTTCTGAGTTGTACATATTCTGCCTCTTCGTATCCCAAGAGGCAGCAGGGGCAGACTGTGTTTACTGCTGAGGTAATTGGAGTAGTTTGGATGGAGCCTGACCCTTTCACCTGCTAGGGTCTAAAGGGGGGGCGGTGTGTGTGTATCCACACATACGCCTGTCTGTGATGACTGGCAGTGAGGCCAAAGAAGGAAAGCAGGCCTCAGCCAGTGTCAGCTCTCGCGGGTGCAGGCAAATTGTTTTTCTCTGCGCGCTCAGTCTTGTCTCATATTCACCCGCTATCACTTTCTTCTTCTTGCATAATCTCTCCACCGACTCAAAGATGCATTCACACTTCCTCTTGGACTTAGTCGGCAGCCCCACCCCCCCCCCCCCCCCCCCGTTTTTTCCTCGTAGAAATATTTTGTTCCCCCACTCATTCTATCAGTCTCCCCCGTCAACGTTTTATTTCCCCCAAGGGCTAGTTTAGCTGAACTGCATAAACCGGGGCTTCTTGCCGAGAAAGAGCAGAAAAATACTAACTCCCCCAATCGCAGCCGTAAACATGAGCCAAATTTCCCCCCGGCTCATCCCGACGCCTGTTGGTTATCTCTGGGGTGAGAAGGATAGGAAAGGGCCCTAATCCGGGGGTGTTGTGAGAATGAGGGTGCTGCCCCTAATAAATCGAAATACCGCCATGCGCGCTCCCGGTTGTTCTCTACCTGGACACAGCGCGTTGGCGCGAGCTCCGCCTCTCTTATAAGAGCAGCTTTAATCGTCACCTTCAGAGAATTCAAATCCTTGGTGGTGCGATATTGCACCAACCATATATGGTTATTTATTGGCAATTTTCAGACCATAATGAGAATATAATAGCATAGTAATACCAGTACGCTCTTTCAAAGAACAAAGAACGTTTTATTCGTCAGAATAGTTAGACATTAATGGTGTCCGCTCTGCGTGTGGAGATGCTGCCTAAACCTGACACTGAAATCAGACAAGACGGCGCGATCGACTAAAATGTTTGACGTTCGTTTATATGTAAAATTAATATCGCACCACCTATATTGTGCGATAAGTCAATATATTGCATATCGCGACAGAGGGACACTGCTCACCTATTGCAGCTCATCCTCCTTTTCCTCCCTCCCTACTCCTCTCCCCATCTCCCTCTCTTCTCTCCGACTTGCTCCTCCCTGATAGCTTTTACCGCTCTGCTGATTTCACAAATAGGACTCATTGATTGAATCTGATTCCTGTGGATAGAGCAGCTTTATTGAGTGGCTTTTCCGCTGATGGACAGGAGCGTGTCGGTATGTGTGCTTGATGCGCACACATGCATGTGTGCGTGTTTGGGATGATAAAGGAAAACTTATTTTCCTCATCCCTTGTCATTTCATAATTTCGCAGCGAGTTCTCTCCTGGGAATTCCAGCAGATAGATCATCAGTGACACACATCCAAACACACACATGCAGCGTGCTCCCTTATACGCACGCGCGCGCGCGCACACACACATACACACACACACACACACACACACACGGCTACATCTGAGTGAATGTTTAAGTGTGGGTGTTGCATACTGACCAAGAAGTCAAGTTAATTGTGGCGGCACCTTGAAGTGGCGCTGTTCATCAAACATTTATCTAAGCGGTGGTTCTGCGGCAGGAAGCCGGCCCAGTCCGCCCAGGGCGCCGTGACTTGAGTCGGTCCAACTCCACTCCAGCTGTGTCACCTGCATTATCTCTCGGCTCGGTTTCACGTGGAAGACAATCCGCCTGGGTTTCAGGGGAGGCTTTAGTTGAAAAACTGTTTTGAGATGGCGCTACATCATCCCCACTCCGGTGGGGATTCACACGCTTCACACGCACGGCACCACCCGCCTCATCCTGGCAGCCGCACCTGTGCTCTTCCCCTTTCACTGCCCTCCACTTTGTGTCGCTCTCCTCTAACCAGACAGTTTTCCACCGAAGCAGAGTTCGATGGTTGACGACACCCATTTAACCCACACAGGTCTGCAGATCCCTCATCATAGAACACACACAAACAGCCACAGCACTGCAGCGGCATTGAAGATGTCATAATGTGCGGTTCTGCATTTTGCAATTGTACCGCAGGGATACACTGTTCTGGGGGGCTTCCCGAGGAGCATCTAAGAAGCCAGTAGTGTTGTTGGGGGTAGAAAAGAGGCCTCTGTGCTATGGAAGGCTGGCCAGCAAAGAGGCATTTCGGGCAGACTGGATGGTGTTTGTACAGCTCTCCATACAGTGACAATAACAGAACAAAGGCAACAATCGTGTTTAGCTTTGATAGCGCATCATGGAGCTGCCCCATCATCTGGTAAAGTTATGGTCTTATTTTGTCCAGTCTTTCCTTACCTCATATCTCAGTTTTGTCAAGCAAGTAATTTTGTCCCTCTTCCAAAAAACTACCGACTTGATTGTTGTTGTTTTTTTCACACGCACGTCAAAATCACGTTTTGTGTCAAATTTACGATTTTCATAACTACAAACTGGTTGATTTTGGACAACTGATCCTGGGGGTTTTCATTTAGATACAAAGTACAGTGAGTACATGACCATATTATTAACAGAATGAATTGACACTTAGATTGTAATTTGTTTCCAAAGTATTATTATTATTTTTTGCCTGTATTAGAATTGTAAATGTAAATCTTCGTGGCTGAAAATATTTGTCTCTGTGGCATCACCAACCGTTGAATAAAATAAATATTTGAATCTTGTCAGTTTCCTCACCCACGTTAACACTGATCACAGATTGTCTGTCTTTGCAGGGAGAAGTAGTGCAGCTTTGAGTTCCTTATTAAAAGAAAAGGGGCAGAGCACAGTGGAGGTAGAGGGAGAGAAAGCAGTGGAGAATTTCTGTGCTTCATTAATTGGCAGCTCCGTGGTACACTAAACATGGTGCACGCACGCACCACATACGCACACACACAGCTCAATGTGAGCTGCGACTGCTCTGAAGCCACTGCTGTATATTTAGTCGAGGGAGACCAGGCTCTGCCACTTTTTCTCTTGCTTACTCGCGCTCCTTCTCTTCCGCTCTCTGTGGCCGCGTTGAAGACGAGTCTCATGGGAGGGCTTAACTCTGAGCCCTCATTCTTTTTTTCTTCTTTTTACTTTCTTTCCTTATCGTCTGAATGGAGCTGCATACCGTTGTTAAAACTCTGTCCAGGAGACTCACTATGTGAAGAGATAGAATAGAGAAACGGGATGTTCAGTCGGTGCTTTTATTACTGGCACTAACAGGCATGTCTGCATTGCTCTGCGCGCATGACGCAGAGAATACATCCATGTGCCACCGTTCTTTCTAGTTGTGCCTTTGTAATGCCACTGTACACGTTGAAATGATAAATCATCCAAATTGGACCTTTTTTTTAGCTGCGAAAGGCCTGAAATCAATAGTTCACTTAAGGGGAAACTCGAGGTCAGTAGAGCTTCACACGTCTATATCCGCACCTTCCAGGTTGGAGAGTAATTCACACGATGCCCTGTTGAAATCTTGATGTACAACCTGGAAAACCCCAGCGGCGTTTGTGTTGTCATGGTTATTGAGTGTCCGGGAGCTTCAGGGGAATATGGAGTTTGGGGGTTGTGCGTGGAGGAATGGATGGTTGTGATTTGAGGAGGGGGGGGGGGGGGGGGGGTGCTGCTGTTGCTATCTTAATTGCTTTCCGTGAATAATTTTAGACCCCTAATTTGGCAATAATGACAGTGGCTGGGGCTTTTGTATTTATTTATCCAAACATTAATTGACAGCACTGACATTAGCCAGGGTGGTTATTGCGCATTTGATTGCGCACAAGGGAGCAAAGAAAATTACAGTAATTATCATTCAGATATGGATTTTGAATATGCATTCCCACACTTAATGTTTCTGTCAGTATTCGGGTAACGAGGCACTATGCCATGACAGCGGCATTTTAGCTGATCTCCATCTCTGTTTCCCTAAACCCAGTCAAACCAGCGCTTGTACAGAACAGACTGCATGTGTTTAGCTTCTCAACTTGTGGAATTAATTGGAATTGGCGTGTGGTGTGTTATTGTGGACAGACATTAACGTTCCTGTTTTTCACAGGCCGAGGGAGAAGACAATTTGAAGAAGATGCAGCTGATGGAGCTGGCCATTCTGAATGGGACATACAGAGACAACAACATCAAAACACGTAAGTGAACGTCTATAGACACACACACACAGTCAGTATATGTCAACTTTACACAATCCATCTGTTTTACACCAACTAATCCTTTAACTTCATTGACCATACTTAATCATATTTGATATGTTCTGTATTCCTCATCAACTAATATTGTTTACCTTCATTTAAATGAATGCGTAGTGTACACACATCATATTATCTATGACCACGAGCAGACATCTTTCTCTCTCAAGCTCTCCAAACAATCCATGTTTACCTACAAGACCATCAGTAGGACATTTTCCATTCTGTTCTACTCCGTATTTCTTTCCTCCAACCCTGCCCTCCTCCCCACTCCATCCTGCAATCCAAATGCCATCACTCTGTATAACTTGCGCTTGGCAAACTCTTTCAGCAGATTGCTGTATTCCACCTGCTCAGCACTGCATGTTGGTCGCTAGTTCACATGTCACCCGTTCTCTTCATTCAATAATAATCCCAATTTGGAATAATGATGGTAGTCATTATTTGGTTGTGTATTCATTAATTCAAGTAGCTTGTTTCCCTTTTTTTTGATTTAATGCTCAAGTAAAAATAAAATGGGAAAATAAAAAAGCCATCAATTTAATTTTATTTCTGTGCTCACAATGACAAATGTCTGTCCTGCACTTGATAAACCATCAGAAAATGTGTGATGACAGTACCTGATCTAATCTAATGGATATCAGCATATAAATCAATACAATAAATAAGCTTCAATTTGTATTATAACGAATTTTATGAGTCCGTAACGATCAAAAAAGGGGCTTTGATGCAACCTTTTCAAAATTTATAGCAATGTTAAAATTTTATTACGTTAAAGTGCAGCCCACAAAGCAAGTCAGACACATTAAATACCAAAATAAGATTCAGCCTGCTGCCCTTTTTTTAATTTGACAATTTGGACATTGTCGTAAAATCAAAATATTGTTTTCAATTCATAAATGCCAACCACCGCTTTTTTTAACTTTTGGATCACCAATTGAATAGCAAAATAACAAATTATACAGATACATTATACACAAATTAATCACGAAATATCCTTTAAATGCATAATAATTATGATTTGAATTTGCACAATTATGTTGAGCACAAATATTTTCTTCGTCCACTTACGCATCTACTATTACCGTTATTTATGTTCTTAATTACCATTCAAAATGTGATTTCCAATAGCAACGTCAGAGACTGGGTTCTTGGATATACTCTAAAGTAAAACTAGACATGGCTAACTTCACTGTCTTCATTTTCCGTGTTTAACACTTATCTCTTTAAATGTTAGCCACGAGGAACCGCCTCACCGTCACACTCTCGTCACACAGCAGCCTGATTCGGTTGTCTTGCCTTTTTGGGAAGCTTAGGGCATGTGCTTACGCAGAACAACCGGGGAAAAAAATAATTTCTGTGTGTGTGTGTGTGTGTGTGTGTGTGTGTGTGTGTGTGTGTTCACCTGTATGTCAACCAAGCTAAATGGACTGCTGACTATGAGTGGCGGATCAAAATCTTTAGGAGAAACTTGGATGTAGTAAATTCCCACTGAATTCAGCGATCATCTTCAGGCCTAAATTGTCTTTCTGAAATCTTCAGCGTTTCCCTACATATAGTCACCAGCTCTGTTTATGTTGGCGTGTGCATTGTTTACTTCACCTGTGCCATTACCAGTAGATGGATGTTTAGCTGCCATGGTGATTTGTATGTTTTGAATGCATTGGGATGAACGCAGCATTTCGTGCTTCTCGTGTTTGGTGTGAGGGGCATTGTCTGTATTTTGTTTGGCTATGTTGACTTATCCTTAGCAAACAGATTGTAGCTCTTGTGGTTCACCACCATGATCATTGCATGGACTAATTTTTCCTTTTGCCCCCTTCCTTTCCCCTCTCCCCCTGCCACTTCCCGTTACCCCTTTTCTTTTTCCTCCTTTTTGTATTTTCACCTTCCACTGTTCATCTGTGATTATGATCAACCACACTACACTTTTATCTCTTGTCCTTCTTTCTTTCTTTCTACTCCTGTCCTTCGCTCTCTTGCTTATGGCAGCCACCCTTGCATTCTCTCTTGCAGCGGCGGCAGCGGCCGCTCAAGGCCAACGTCTCATTGCGGCCCCCAATGGTCAAGTATTGCCTCCCCAGGCACTCCGGCCTCCAACACCAGGTGGGGGCTCCATCATGAACCTCATCCGGTCCCCTCAGATGGCCGCCATGTTGCCCAATGGTACCCCCACCCTGGTGCCTCCCTCACCGGATGGCGGTCTTATCTACACCACCCAATACGATTACCCTTACGCCCTGGCACCCACCTCCCTGCTGGAGTATCCCATTGAGCACAGTGGGGTTCTAGGTAAGAGAGCCTGGGGAAGCATGGGTCCAGGTACAATGGCCAGCTTTAGCCAGCTTGGACAGGAGGGCAGCTTGTTTTACCCCGGAGCTGGGGTGCTGGACGCTGCTGCCATGAGCCACAATCAGGACTTGTTGAAAGGTAAATATGTCGTGTCCACCTGAAGATCAAAAAACAAACTGACTGCGTTGATGTGCTGGTGAAGCTCTTGGTAGTGGGATGACCAGCTATGTGGCTTGTATGGACACTGTATTAAAAAGGCAACGGGGGACAAAAATGCCCTTTTTAGGGCTAGGCTTAAGTTTATAATTTAGTCCAAGGTTCCGTCACTGTTTAACTTGCGTTCTCGCCAAACAATTACGCTCTCAGGTTTAGATATTCTCTCTTCTGCATGGGAGCGCTTGCCTCTGTGTGAGTTGAGGCGTGCCAACAGAAACAACACACACACACACACACACACACACACACACACACACAGGCAGCCTGCTCTCTAACCCTTTCATGCACTGGCCTGGAGGCATATTCAGTCTGGCGGCAGATCCCCTCGGATTTCTGCAGCTTTTGAAATCATTTCTCTGTGCTGTTCTCTGCAGGCAGGCCTTGATGTCTGTGGATAGTCCCTCTCCCACTCCCACTGGGGATGTTCATTAAATTCCTCAATTCTTCCCTTTTTTATCCTCCCTCTCTCCATTGTCTTAGCTTCACCCCTCTTGAACTTGAGCCATGTGCTAATACCTGACCCTCCCTATAGTTTGTCAGGGTGCAGTTCAATGTGAGGGTCTATATATTGTATTCCTTCTCAATGGAGCTTTAAGCTCCACACATATGCTACCAAAGAGAACGGAACATCTGTTGATGGAAGAGGCAATTATAAACACTGTATTTTATTAATATTGTTCAGTAGCAGACACTAGCCTCATTTTAGCGAACCCGTGTCTTTGACGTGTCTCTGGGAGTCATATGTGGAACAGACAGGGGCGCCTGACTGTCTTTTCTCTCTAACTTGCAGGGTTACACCAGCTTAGTGCATTTTATTTACTCACATTATCGATTGGTGCCTTCAGCAACACAGGGCTCTGTGTGGAAACACTCGCTCTCTCACACACACACACACACACACACACACACACTCATGCACTTGGTTCGGCAGCCTGCGCTACTGTATCCAGCCACTATTGGCCTCTTAGAGAAATAAAAGGAATGTCAGGGCATCTGCTTCTTTGGAGAAGTGCAGGTGGTTGCATAGTCATCAGCCGTAACTTGTTCTTAACTGGACGGGAGAACAATAATCCTCGTTGAAATTTCCAAACTTAATTCCCACCTCTTCCTCTGGGAAGATTTATCTTTCTTAATTCCCTTGTACTTAAACATACAGTGACACTCAAACAGCTTCTTTGTGTTATGTACATACAACGCTGTTGAGCGCTGCAATAGAATACATCAGTTAGGACAAAATGTAAGGGGGAAATGACTGGAGAGAGATGGCGAAAGAGGGAAAGAGAAATTGAAAGACAGGAAGAGGCAGGTGGTGTCTGGCGCTATTCAATTACCATCAGAGCTGTATTGGATTCCCCCACCGCTCAAAATAAAGAAACAAATTTCTCTCAATCCCCCTCTGGACCCCAGAGGAAGAAACACATTATTTTTTCAGACAGCCCCGAAGCCTTTACCCTTTGCCTGCCCCCTTTTCAAAGAGCCCTCTAGAACTCTGAGCACTGTGGAATTTTATTACTTAAGTTATGGATTTTTTAAATACCAAGTAAATGTCCGAAAAGGCGTATCATTTTTTCTACTGCATTTTTCTACACATAAAAACAAGCTCTGTTGTGTGTGTGCGTGTGTGTGTGTGTGTGTGCGTGTGCGTGCGTGTGTGTGTGTGTATATCTGCTATAACCTGTATTATGTTGCTTTTCTGTGTATTGTATCATCTAAGCATTATAATGACAACTGTTTAAAAATGTGAAAATTCTTACTGTAAAAGCTGACTGTTTTTTCCCTGCTCGAAGTGAACGGTTTCTAACCTTGTGGACCTGTTACAATCTAGGTGCAATGGCTACTAAAGTGAGACGGCATGACACGCGGGTCCATCCTTACCAAAGGATTGTGACCGCTGACAGAGGTCAGTTTAGTCTCTTAGCTACACACTGTTATTGATTGATGACTTTCAATGATTATTATGCCCTGATGCCTTAGTTAGGAATGTCTACATCTGTATTTATTTTTGTTTTTTTCTTACCCCCATCGCTTTTCCTACCCCACACATCCACACGCCAGCTAAATGGTTAATTGTGGTATGCACATTTTGTTTACATTCAGTACTTGACGTATACAGTATTCTGTATATGTCAAAGCTCAGGCAAAAGTGATCCGAACAGCTTTTGGTTTATGCAGCTGTGAAGACAGGTAGTACTCTGCAGGCCCTGTTAAAGGCCCATAATGACATTCCTCTGATGTGAGATTAGAGCCTAAAACGGGGCGGGCTTGTTCCCATACATGATTTATCTCCTTTGCTCGTAAGGAGCAAAGAAAAAGGAATAGCATTTCTATACTGCATCTGAGAGACCTGGTCGGCAGAAGACAAGTTGTCATGCTGCTACTGCTCACCATTTCAACTCGAAATTCAAATTTATTTAGCATTTTATTTTTCTATTGAAGAAAGACACGAACAAACATAAGATGGATAGCTTGCATGCTCCAGTTAATGTATAGAGATTTAAAAAAAAAAAGCTAAAAACATTTTAAATATTTCAGTTGTACACGAGGTACTGTCATTTTATATTTGAGCATTTTATAGCAAATGTATTTATGGTTCTGGTGTATATTTATACTATATAAAAATATACTGCTAAATAAAAAAATAATTGGAAAACATTGATTTATCTATTCATTGCACACTTAACGCTAGCCACAGTTACCCGTCACATAACATTAGCGAGACGCCTTCCCACTAATCACACTGTAACTTGCACTCCAACTCGACAGACACTAAAACACTAGATTTCTGTTGTTCTTATCTCGTGTGTCTGTTCAACCTCTTTGCTTCTGTTTAGATTTTTGGGGGCAATGTGCACTTAAATTAAGCCACCATGCTACCAGATTTGGGCGGGTGGGATCACAACGCGACTACCTCATGATTATGTTCAGATTAGACGGGTTCATCTCACATTGGCACAGGGGTCTTAGCGGGGGGCAACATGAGAGATTGCATTCATTTTATTGTTAAAATGATGTCATTCCAGTCTCTTCTTGCTGACACTAATATCCTTTCTATCTTTTTTTTCTGTTTGTTTTGTTTTTGTTTCTAACCACCTAGCCGCCACCGGCAACTAACACATGACCTTCTGACCTCTGAACTCTTCACCCAATGACGAGCCGCCCCAAGCCTGCCTGCTGATCAGTTAACTGGTAATTGCCTTTTGCTAGCCTCTCGGACGCAAGTGAGAGAGGGAGAGAGAGGGAGGCGCGCCTGACCGTACAGTTACCCAAACACGTTCTGAACAAAGAGAAAAACAGAAACAGAAACCAATGGAAAATCTTCACAGAAACACAACAAAACCCAACAAAGTTGTGTGTTATCCATATTTTTCCCTCTGTTCATTGAGTTCAGTTCCCATTCTTTCTATTTCTTTTTCTTCATGAATCATGTACTGGGTGGACGTGTTTGTGGTATGACTCATAAATCTGCACTGAATTATATAGCAATAATGACCCCCCACCCCAACCTGCTCACCCACCCCCCATTTATTCACTCTCAATTGGTGACCTCACATCCACGAACAAAAGTTCAAAATCTATTTGATGCAAACTATTTGGTTTCACAGTAATAAGATCAGCCTCCCCCCCCCCCCTCTGAAAAACAAAACAATCTCCCGAGCCCCCCACCCCCCACCCCCCCCTGCCCACTCTGTTGCTACCTACTGGGAGAGAAAAGAAATAGAAGGAAAGAGAACATACGCTCACATTAACTTGTTTAATTTGTCATTTTTTCCATGTAGTGCAGTTGTTGAGCTCTAAAATGTAATTTATGAGCTGACACATTCTGGGTGTGCCCCTCTAAACGGCTTCCTCTCTGTTTTTAAAAACAAAAAAGCATGGCTACAATGATTGCAAAAAGCTTTTTATGATTTATGTGTTTTTTTGTTGTTGTTTTTTTTGGCTTTACTCATTTTCTCGACTTGATTTTGGTTTCTCTGTTGTTCACATTTGACTAATTAGCTTTGCTTGAATTCGCCAGCCAAAATAAGGCAAATGGTAACCTCTGGAAAACAAAAGCAATCTAATGTATGAAGCAGGCTGCAGAAACTAAGGAAGGGCAAGATGGGAAGGTCAGCGTTTGGGCCGATGGGTCTGTGTGTGTGTGTTTTAATTAATACTACAATGAAAGTAGGGTGTGCTGAGGCTTCGGGGACTTTGGGTCAGTGCTTATCAGCTACTGACCGTTGCTACGTCCCCATCCACACTACATCCATTATACAGTGCCTGATGTATTTAGAAAATAATCTCGATGAGTAAGAAGAGCTGTGATTGAAAAGACAAAAAAAAGTATTAAGTGTGCATATTTAGCCAAAGGGTTTCTCAATGAATTATATATCTGCAATTATGCATTTGACTCACAGAGGGCTTTCTTTGTGATTTTAGAGTTTTGAAGGGTGTGAATTTGTGGTGTCTTCAACTGGAACAGAGAGACACTCAGTTAGATTACTTTTGACCCATTCATTTATTTTTTCTGAGGAGGTGACAAAAGGCAATTAACACTAAATCAACACGCTACTCAATTACAGGACATAGCTAGGGGAAGGGCACTTTGAAGTTCTGTACATAAGTGCTTTTGTCTTGAGGTTTCTGAACTGATTTGTTTCATCACACATTGCCAAAATAGTTTTTATTTCCTTGTTTGTTTGCATCTCAACATTTGGCCACTTTTGCGTTTAAGTGTCTTTCTTTATTGTCAACCCAAGCTACAGGTGGCCATAATCTGAGCCCTCCTGCAAATATTTCATTATTTTAGGGATGAAACGTTTATTTTCAACGCATGACAAACCCTCCAAAAGCGCATCCACAATGTGTCACACTTCCCTCTGATCGGAGTCGAGCTCCTGAGCTCACAATCCTTTGTTCAACTCTCTCAAGAAAAAAATAGGATGTGAAAGCCATGCCTGCCTGTTCAAATTGCTTTATACATACGTCTTATATATATGAAAAAAATATATATACGTGTGTGTATATATATATAGATATATATACACATGTATATACAAATGTAGATATCTGTCATTGCATATACAAATACATAAGTGAACAAAAAAATAGATAATTTTACAGGGTGCTGGAGAAGATAAAAAAATTAAAATCTATTTTTGGCAATTTTAGCTTTTGATACTTTACTTGCAGTTACAAAATCTGAAAAAAATAAAAAATGAAGAAAAGTTTAAAACGGCATGGGGGATATGAGTGGGTGTAGAAAAAGCGCTGTTACTTGGATGTGATCAAAAGCGTCATAACTCTTGAAAAGTTATCGAGGATGAGAGCGCGACGGACGCCCTCGAGAGTTTTAAAGAGGAGCAAATCAAAGTGCCTTATCAACAGCGGTTTCTGTTTTCTGAGTATTCCAGTTGTGTTCAATAATACCCAGCACCCACCGAGATGGCGCAGAGAGGAATGGCTAGTGTTACGTGGGTAGCTCCCACCCTATCGTGGTGTTACCGAAGTTATTCTATGCAAAAAGAATAGCAGTCGTTTTGACCAGCTAAAATATGTGCCATAGTTTTGTCTTCCTGAAATGATTTTGTTTTTCTTTTCCTTAACTTGATGGCCCTTTACTCTGCTGTATGTGCAGGATGTGTCCACTTTTTATTTAGATTTTAATGATCATATGAACTCTTGTCTCGATCTTTGGCGACTGTGACTAACTTCCTAGAACAAATTGAACTGCCAATAGCTTTGCAGCAGTCTGCCTGAACGTGTTCTAATCCGGAGCTAAAGAAATACATTAAGGTAACGGATATGAACAATGTGGAGGGGGGGGGGCTTCCCTTCGGCATTGAGCTTAATTTGTTTCAATAGCTGTAAACCGAAAGCATCCAGTCCGTGTCTCCCGATGTCAATTTGACAACAAACTATCAGTCCCGGGACTTCCAATGGCCGTGTGAAATGCCGATAATGAAAGGAGCGACTCTTATTTCACAGCCAAATGGTTTTCAGTTATTGAAACAACTGACAGTTCTTTATTAGGGGGTAAAAGTATTTAAATTCTATCAAATATTACCCTTTGTTCTTCTATTCATAGCTTTTTCATCGTGATGTTACATCGAAGGGTCAATTAACTTTTGTTTCTCAGTGTTATTATTTTAAATTGAAATGCAATATCAAAGTGGAGCAAGTGATGGCTATTCAGCATTTGACAGTATTAAGAAAATTCCTTCCGCGATGTTACAACTTGCTGTTTCATTGTGAAAGGCTGGATAAGTCCATCAGGTGAAAGGTTAACTATATACCTACCGTATTCTCTCTGGCCTGCCTACTACATGTATGATAATGTAATTAACAGCCATTGTTACAGGTTTATAATGTATTTTTCTAATCTCATTTTATATGTATATTAATCATGTTTCTGAGTGCTTTTTTTTTAATGAAATCCACATGCAACTCCCCCCACCCCCAAACGTCCCATCTCTTCCTCCCCTCCCCATTCTTTTACATCTGAAACTGTCTCTTGTGGGGAGTGTTGCCTTTTCCCTGTTACATTTGGTTTTGTTTTCTTGCTTATTCCCAGCTTGTTTAACTCATTAGCTACTTTATTAGTTCTTCTGTCATAAGTATTTTTACATGCTTGCATTTAGTTTTCATGGTGTATGCTGTTATTTTTCTTATTAACCTCTTGGCATTTATTTTAATAAAACATTCTTAGTAAGAATTTTACTAACTTGCTGATATTTTGTCTTGTGTTTTTAACCAGTTTCATGAATGTATTACCTTGGTCTGGTTCACGGACTAACACGATTAAAACTGGTGTCTGGCCACCACTTACACAAGCACACACACATACACACGTCAGTTTTGCACATACAAATACACACACTCACTCAGCCTAACTGGAACCTGCACGAGTTGATAAGCGTCCCTCACTCCCGCTCACGCACTCTCCCCTCTGTGCGGAGGAATCTGCCGACTCACTCCAACACTGCTGCTGTGTCTCCCTCGTCTATCGGTGGGGGGGGGGGGGGGCCCCACCACAAAGTGTAACTGCCCCCCTCCTTCCCTGGGGGGGTTGGGGGGGGGGGGGCCACTTTGGGGCGCGCTCCTAAGAATAAAAAGGGGAATTTTGTGTTTTACCCCAAATCAAAAACCCAAAGTCCCCCCACGGTCCTCTTTCTCTAAATGGGGATTAGTGCGGGGCTCGCCATAATCTGTGCAAAAATACTGCATATTAGTCATCTCAAAAGGATTTCTTTGACTGTGAATGATGTATTTATTTCCCACGGACGCAAAGACGGCGGCTGCGTGATTCTAAATCCGTCCCTGGTTTGTTTTCCTTCTCGTCATGCCTGGATAGCAGAACAGATCACCAGCTGTTGTCGGTTTGGTGACTACTTCTCCCAATTCAGCTTATTGATATAATGGCCAATACCGGGCCGTTTGGGAGCAGCCATAATACTTCGACACACACCAGTACACTGTGCCAACGTGCCAACTTCTCTGGGATCAAAACGACCTTCCTGTTCCTTCCAGTGTAAAATGCTGACGTGGCTTTCAGCTGGCTGGTGTTGGTTGTTTTCTGTGTGAAACACTGCCAGTGTGTGTTGTTCACTCGACTCTATTCAGCTTGTTTTTCTTCCTCTCCACTAATTCAAGGTATTGACACTGACACACGAGCAAAAGATTAATACATTAATCCTGATTATTACTTTAACCCGCTGAGTGATGCCTCCAGATTTTTTCCTTCTTTTTTTTCTTCTCCTTTTTAAATGTGCACAAGACAAAACAACTCTGCCTTAACTGTTGCAAGTCTCTTCATGTCTCAGTAAGCAAAGATCAAGGAAGGATTAAAGGTGTCTAACATCCAATCTAACCATAATTTCCTCTGAAATTTTTGCGCTTTTGATCTGAAGATCAAAACACCCGTTTCTGATCTGAAAACTGGTGTTTTTTTCTTAACACCTTCTGAAACACCAGCCAGTAAAGACAAAGATTGGATTAATGGCAGCCAGCCTTATTAGGTTTTTTTTCTCCTTTGATTTTTGTGTAGTCAGCCATAAGCTTTTTCAATTTATCACCATTAATGTTTTGGCCTGGCTCATATTTGCCGTATGCGGCGAGAGCTGAAATCCGTCCATTAGCAGTCAATATATTTATGCTGTCACAATCTTCGCCTTACATTTATCAGAGAGGTTTTCAACAACCGAGCTGATGAAGATTGTGTTGACCGGCGTTTTTTTTCCAGAGCACAATGCATTGCAAACACTGCCTTGAAATATTGCATCTGAGTTAAAAAAGTGCCTTTTTTCCTACGATAAGGAAAGTATTTATTTTTGTACTTTATTATTCAAACGTATATCAAATTTCTTTTTGAACTGGGAATGTTTGACCAAACATTGGGAATTTGGTCTCGAATTAAACGCAACAAGATTTAGAATTTGATCGACTGAGGACTTTTTGTGCGCTGACGGGGTGTTTGCGTACTGCTGCCTTCCCAATCCGTCACAGGCCCATCGTGCATTTATCTACTAACTACCTTTTCACCCGTCAATCTCTTACTTTCCCTCTGTTATGTTTAACAAACATTCCTCCAATGAGTTAAACGGCAGGTTAACTAATCAGTAGCACTCAGGTGGTCAAAGGGCAAATGCTACCAAATTACAAAATTAGTTTTTTTTTTTTTTTTTTTTAGCCCCACTGGATTTTTGTGTTTCTCTTTATTTTTTGACTGTGATGAGTATGCATAAAAAGTATCATTTTTTTCCTAAAAGTATGCTAGTACATGGTCTATACTGTAAGTTCCTCATCCATATAGTGGTGCACTAAAATGTGACATTTCTTTTGTGGACAAAGTTTTTCTGTGAAGTAGCTTTTGGTTTTGTGTTGTTTTTACAGCGAATTAGACTCAGAACTTTGAATAGGGTGTCAAATATGTAATGCCAGTTTTTGTAGCTCACACCAAAAGAACAAAACAAAGGAAAACAATTGTGTGTGCAATAAAGAACCATATTTACAAGCTTCCCCCTGACTGCTTTACCTCGACTGGTCCTTTACTCCTGCGCTCATACTTCTTCACCAGTGACATCGCTTCTTCGGGACGTTTGAAGGTAGGTGAGCCAAATTGGATTAGGAAAGGAAATATGAAAGTTCATCACCCGCCTAAGCCCTCAGAGTGAGAAACAAGCGCTCTCCTGGATCTTAGTGTGATTGTAAAAATGTGCAAAAGCTTTCCATCTGTAGGTGGAGAGCGGTCAAATCCAGTTCCGGCTCAAGTCATTCTGTTGTCTAAACTGATGTTTTAAAGTCTGAGCCGAGGACCAGCGGCGGATACAGAGTCCCACTCAATAAAAGCCCCTCTGCTGCAAACTGAACACTGACGCTACTCAGACGGCTCCATCGTCGTAAAGGCTGACGGTACGCAGCCGTGTTCAAACCCGTCACGGCTGCACTCTGCGAACTCACCGCTGAGGTCAAACCGCTCAGGAGAAGCTGCACGTTGCACCGAATGAGCTGCAGCGTCTGAAAACTGCAACGTTACGTTTGTTCTATCAGACTAAACAATCCGGATGTTCTCTTAACATGAAAACGGTTTAGAACGTAATGAAACCGTCGTAATGGGGAGAGCCGCTCTGGAGTCGTTTCTTTCTCTGTGAAGGACGTTCTGGTGAAAACATCCCCCTATTTAGTGAAACAACTTCATGCTTTCTTTCCTTTATTTCTGTGTTTTGTCGCCCTCATAAAGGAAAGAATTACCACTTCATACCGATTTCACAAGACTTCTATAATGTCAAACTATTTCCCAAGGGACAACCGATTGCAACTATCCTGTTTATGCAAAACAATGAACAAAAATAAATCTAATTTGCCGGTAGAACATTGGGACCCAAATAACATCCTGTCTATTAACACCAAACCTAATGAGTACACCAGAGTGAGTCTCACTGTTGCTGCCGCCATCTAAAAACAGCAGCATAATCTTGTTAACAAACACTGACGGTATTTATGCCATAAGCCGGGTTGTCTTCTTCATTTAGATTCCGTACGTGCACCAAGTGGATGCAAACTGGTGTTCTTTACTCAATCAGCGTACGACAGGCACAGGTGGTAAATCTAATTCATCGTAAACAAACACCCGAGTCCCCCCACGTTTCTTCCCTTATTTTGTTTGCTGCAGGCCTCAGCACATCCTCAGAGTCATGTACCCTAATTATCGAACACACCGTCTCCAGGATGCCGGGGAGTCGGGTGCACGTAGCTGCAGGAGCAACAGAACGCGCTAACGCCGTGTTGAAAGTAATGGCAACTCTTCTCCCATTAATTAATGACAGTGCTGCAGTATATTCCCGTTTACACCAGTAAGCAACGCCCGTGGGCTTCCTGATGACCTCCGACCTGTGAGGAGGGGCGGTGTGAATGATCAGTAGCAGCCGTTCTCCCTAATTCGATTCACTAATAAAAACAAAGGGCTTAGAGGTGGACGTCTCATCGCAGCACAAGCTGGCAAGGACACATCTTCCTCTCTGCGCTCCTCTCATCCTCCTGCTGCAGGACAGAGATGCTTCTGCTGAATAGGGCAGTGGGGAGTAAACGCTTTGTGGTGGTGGTGGGGGGGAGCGCTGGAAGTGACTCTAATGTCATGCAGGAAGCAGGGAGCGAGGAAGAGAAGTGGAAGGAGGAGGGTGCCGATGGTGCTTTTGGCTCCCCGGGAAGATGCATCAAAGGAGCATTTGTCGCAGAGACCAGCTGGGAGTCTAATCAAGGAAAGAGAACCGGAGTGTGTGTGTGTGTGTGTGTGTTTTTTGGAGGGGCAGAGTGGAAGGGTTGCATCAGTAGTGACAGATGAACCAGCTTCCTGTGAAATGAATATAGGGCATTCATCAGAGTGCAGCTGTTTCTCTGTATCTTTGTGTGCGCGTGAGAAAGACGGACTTGTTTTAGAGCGCGCAGTTGTTGCAGGTCTCAAGCTCATAGTGATGAATGAAACTAGTTCTTTAGGCACCTGTGCCGAATGACACAGTCTAGCAGCTGGATTTTGTGCGTTTGTCACTGATTGCGTGTGTGTGTGTGTGTGTGTGTGTGTGTGTGTGTGTGTTAGAACGATTGCAGCAGTCAGAAAGAAAGACAGTAGAAAGAAGAGCGGTGGTTTATCTTTTTGCAGCTAGAGAGTATTTTCTCATTTTGCAAGTCTCTCTAATATAAATCACTCTGGGTTGTAAATAATGGGTGTTTTCTTTCCAAGAAATGCTCTTGAGGACTTTACCTGTTTTTGGCAGCTGCAAATACTCGGATGGTGGATGTTTCGTACAATCAAATATATTCAGGGAAAAAAATCATTTAATTTGTCCATAAGGATGTCTGCTCAAACAGGTCGGTTTACATTTTCCCTGCTCTGTCTCGTCCCCGCTGACACATGTCACGGCAAGAAGTAAAAAAAACAAAACGGTCCCGTCACTCCGGCGTGGACAAAACAATGAATCTTCCTCGTCAGTTTTGTGGGCCGTCCAGCTGCTGGGAACTGTTTTTGTGTTGAGTGATTCAGACATGTGTGGATACTGCAAACCTGCTCTGTCACCCGATACTGACAGAGAGGCTAGTGAGTGTGTGAGTGTGTGTGTGTGTGTGTGTGTGTGTGTGTGTGTGAGAGAGAGCTTTACAATGCATAAAATGTAAGAAAAGTCATCGATGCAAACAAACTACAGGATAATGTTTAGCTTGTTAAGCGAAATG